TGTCCCGGGGGTCAGCAGAAATCCCCAGGGACTCCTCACCCCCCTGCAACAGACGGCAACAGCCGCTGTGCGAGCAGCAGAACCAACCCAGGAGCTGGAAGAAGCCGCTCGCTCTCAGGACTCAAACCAGACGATGCCGCCTTACAGAGAGAAGATGCAGAATTACGTCACGCTGAATCAACGCTCTGACTTTGCCTCACGTTTCACCGTCCGAACGGCCAGCATAACGTCCTCTGGAGACAAATGAATAAGCCTTCGTCATTTATCAGGCCATTGTTCACTTCTTTAAGGAACAGGAAAAATAATTCCTGACCCTCATAGTCAATCAGTTTATGCTCTGAAGCATGAGATTTGCTTACCTCATGTTATTATCTCAACATGCAGACCTAAAAAATTTCATTAATGGGAATAATTTTATCTATTCATTTAAAAAACCAAAATGCTTCTGCTTGACCTTAAGTAACTTTCTGACTTTTCAAGCAGAAATCAACAATTAAGTGAAAGAAAAATAAAAACCTCAAGAGGTGTAGTAGTGATACCTCGTGTCGGGAGAAACGTGCTCCTCTCCAACCGTTTACGGCATTTCTTTGACAGTTAAATTTGATGTAAAATCGTTTTACATCTGTCATGTTCTGACAGTTTTGTGCATCATTAAGAAGTAGTAACTTCATTATTAATAGTGATGAGTAAGAATATTACGATCCCATTTAAAGCAGCCGGTCTTAAATCACTTTGGGTACCAAGCCCAGCTATGGCTGAGGAGAAGCCGCCCTGGTTCAGGCTACGGTCGGGAAGAGGCATCGGTAAGTCTTGGACTTCACGGGATTTGGGGGGGGATTTGGGGTGGGGGCAGTGCTGGCAGCGCCCACATCCTCCTCCGCACACCGCAGGTGCCCACGCACGCTTACGCTCAGAGGGGACACGTGGGTGCGGGTGTGCTTGGCGCAGGCTGCGGTTTCCACCGGTGGCTCAGCAGCACCCGGCGGGGCCCTTCCCGGGCGCCCACGGCACCACGGGTGCGCGGAGCATCACTGCACCGCC